GTTGTACCAGACTTTGTCGAATGCTTTTGCGACATCGAAGAAGAGAGCCCCTGTGCTGATGTGTTTGGGGTGGTTTAGGCCTTTTAGGATGTGCTCCGTTAGGCGGTATAACTGCTCGGGACATGAGTGTCTAGCTCGAAAGCCGAATTGTTCCGTCGGCAGAAGGCCGTTGGAAAATACGTGCTCTTTGAGCCTGTTTAACAAGAGCCGCTCGTAGAGCTTCCCCAGGCAACTGAGGAGGCTGATGGGACGATAGCTAGAGGGCTGATTAGCTGGTTTATTCGGCTTGCGAATGCCGATAACCGTGGCTTGCTTCCAGTCGTCCGGAAAGGAGCAACTGGAGAGAAGGGTATTGAAAATGGTCGCCAGTAAACAGATAAGCGGCCCAGGGAGAGCTTTAAGAATTTTATTACTTATACTATCTGGGCCCGGGGCGGATTTTGGTGTCGGGAATATCTTGGACCTCTTCGGGGGTCACTGAATTTAAAGGTTCGCCTTCCGGTGGAAGCGCAGCCCTAGTCTCGATTACGTGGTCCTCCTCCGTTAGGTGGACTGAATCGGTGTGTCCGCGATATCGTACATTGCTGCTCTAGGTTGTCCGCAAGGCATTCGGCTTTTTCGGAGTCATCTAGGGCTACTGAAGCGCTATTAGGTCTAACTAACGGCGGTAGAGCTTCGCGGGGGTCTGCTTTCAGACTGCGGGCCAACCGCCAGTAGGCGGTGTGCGATGGCTCGATGTTCTCTAGGAGAGTGTCCCACGTTGTGTGTCGGTGTTCCGATACACGATCTTTGACTTCTAGCTGAAGGCGTCGAAGTAGGGTTCGGTTCGATTCCGATCGGTATCGGTCGAAGGCGCGTTTGGCTGCATTTTTCTGTCTAATTAGCAGTCTTAGGTCGGGCGGAAAGTTAAACCGTCGGTCGCCCGACAGTTTCACCGTCCGTTCCGAGTCTGTGACTGCGGAAGTAATAGTTTCTCGGAGACTCGCTATCGCTCGATTTGCGTCATCGAACGTAGATATCGTCTCGGGTAAGTCTACTAAGTCCTGGGGGTCAAAGGCCTTGAGTTTGACCTCAAGACGATGCCAGTCCACTACGGATTTGGTCGGAGGGACCGCGCTGGCGTTCTGGCCCAGTTTACATAGGACGGGCCTATGGTCTGAGTCTAGTTCATGGATTGTCTCTATCGACTCGATGTCGAGCGAGACCTCCCTGAATAACATGATGTCTAGGACACTCGGTGACGCGTGTTGGTAGTTGTCCACCGTAGGATACCTTGTGGGAGTCGCGGGAGCAACTATGCTAAAGTTTAGGTTATCGGATAAGCTAAAGAGATGCTTTCCGTTGTTATTTGGGATGCTGTTGGTGTCCCATGAGCCGTGTTTGCAGTTTAGATCTCCTGCAATTATCACGGAAGGGCCTAAGTTAAGAAGCGTATCTAGGTCGCTTTGAAGTATGGTTCTATTCCCCGAGAGGTAGGCTGAGACTAGTACAAGCGGCCTGTGGCCGGTGAGCGCTAGCCTACACGCGGATGCCTCTATTTGACTTAGCTCTGGAATGTCGAGCGGGCAACAGTGCAAGGACCGTTTACAATAAATTAATGTGCCTCCCAGACGGTTTGCTAACCGGTCGTGGCGGACAATATTCTAATTTGCGATTCTGGATCGCGTACACTAGGTTTCAAGAATGTCTCTTGCACTAGAAAAATATCTACGTTGTAGTCGCGAAGGAATTCCGCGATTTCGTCCCTTTGACCCTTTATGCCGTTTGCGTTGAAATACGAAACAACCAGAGCCCGAGGTTTTGTTCTACCTGCGGTTGTACTTCCCATTAAGGTGTTTTTATTGGTCTAATTAACGACGCGGCGGAGCGCGGTTTTATTGCGCGGACTATTGTCTTTTACGGTTGGCTCGTAAAAGCCCAAAGGGCTTCCACAAGCCTTTTATGTTGGTTAATTGCCCTAAGACGCTCGTGGCCAGATGTGTCGGCCGCTATTTTAGCGGACAATACGGCGAGTTCCTGCCTATTGATCCTATCTAATAGGCTGCAGATGTTTGCGATTTGCGCGAATGGGTCGTCCTTGTTTTCCGCGAAAACTGACGGAGTTGGCTGCACCTGCGGCCGCGGCGCCGTTTGAGAGGCGGGCAGCTGTTGTGCGATCGGTCGTGAGGCGACCGGGATTACCGGCGTGGTTACCTGCGCGGCCACCTGGGGTTTCGCCCAGGCGTTAGTGACGGGTACGGACGCGGGAAGGTATTTAACGGGCGCGGGTTTGGGCAACGTAGATTTCGCGGGAGATTTTCTCGCGGGAGTTTTCGGGGCCTTAGCGCAGCCTCTATAACTAGCCGGTGGCCGGTAGCGTGACAGTTTACGCAGTCAGGTGGATCTGCGCAATCTTTTGGCCTCGTGCACTCGGTTGTGCCGTGGTCACCGGTGCATTTGACGCACCTAGGGTGAGCGAAGCAATTATTGGCCGTGTGGCCAAAATGTTGACAGTTGTGGCACTGTGCCACAACACCTGATTTGCGCGGGGGCTCAATGACTAAGTCACTGAGCCCACAGCCCTCTTTAGGTTGAAGATGGCCTTACCTTCCGGGGTAGAGTCAAGTTCAACCATGACCATGTCCATAGGGACACGGGTTCTAGGGTGCCTAAGACGTCGTACTGCATGTACGGGGTATCCCTGAGTGCGGATGTCGACTTTAGCCTTATCGACATCCGACTCTTTGGGGACGCCCTTTATTACTACCCGAAGTTTACGCTCTTCGGGCAACGAGTAGGTGTGAAAACCTACTTTATTTTCGCGTAAATACTTGGTTACGCGGCGGAAATCGTCTGTTGTGTCCAGGTATGCGCGGATACCCATGTGTGTATTTTTCGACCGGTGGTCGCGGATGTTGTGCCGTTCAAACCACGAGTATACTTGATGCCACTTTGCCTTTTCTTGAATAATTATTGGCGGTGGTGGCTTAATTTTTCGCTCGGAGGCGAATTCGGGTACCAATTGGGCAGCCGCGGCTGGCTTTTTGGCGGGCGTTGCGGTGGGACGGTTAGATGGGGCGGCCTTGCATTCGGGTCGCTGTCAGTTGCGGGGCGTTTTTTGCCCTTTTTGCGCGATTTTACGACGGTGAAGCCGTCGGCGTTCGCGTTATCAGCGGGGGTCGTTTCGACCTCCATGTCCGAGCCGCCGTCCGATTGTGAGTCGGGAACGACATCGCGGAAGGGGGCCGAAATTGGTTGCGCGGAAGACGCGTTGGGTTCGTTCGCGGCGGCGGAAGTCGACGCGACGGGCGTTACTAGTGTCGCAGAAGGCGACTCATTAGCTGGCGTAGAGGGCACCGGAGATGGCGGCGAGGCGACTGCCGGTGAAGCCGGGTTATCGCTAGAGTATTCGACGACGCGGCGTTTCTCCGCGGCGAAGGCGAGAAAGCTGCGCCACATTTCGGGGCATCGTTCGCGAATGAATTCCTCTAAGAGGGAACCCATAACGGCGCTTGAACCTTTGGGGCTTGCGCCCCGCCGGCGTGTAGTTTCTAAATAGGCCTCCCCACCTTGCGGCAGGGAGGTGTGTGCCTAAAACTAACAACTATTTCACCTGCGCTTTAGGTGCGCTAGGGTGGGTACCTAGCTGTCGCCTATCGCAACAAGCACACAGTTATTAAATAAAACAATGCCGCCTCTGAGGCAAGAAGTGTGTATAGAATCCTACTTACAGAACAGGAACCTGCCTACGAGCACAACACTACACTAACACTAAACTGCAGCACTGCTTGCACAAAGATTTAATTTGCAACCGAAGTTGCGAGTAGCGTCTAATTCGGGTGGCATGAGCCCTCCGTCTTGAAATAGGACGATGCATAAGAAACGCGTGAAGATAGATCAAAAGCTCCGCGATAAAGCTTGATTTCTCAGGCTGGTGACTAAAGGCACTACGACGGCATTGACCCATCTACACTACATCAGCGATGTAATCCACATGGTGTCTACGTCCCTGTCCTTCTAAGAATATGTCAATATAGCCATCTAAGAGGCTATAGAGCCAAGGATATATGACAAAGGCCCTGTTTATCTTAAAAGTTGTTATAAAATCTAAAAGTTCTTTTACGGTTCAGAAATCAATACCTAGACATGGAAAAAACAAAATTGAGCTTGAACCATATTTTTTTTCAAATAATAGGTTTTGCGTGAAATCTTAATAACATTTTAAAAATTGATGGAAAATAATATAGCATTTAACATTTTTGTAAAGGTTATAAGTATAAACCTTAATATTATGTACATTTTAAATGAATCGTTGAAGGTGACTAGATCATGTGATGCAGTAAAAACTTGCATTCTTTTTTCAAAAACTTTTTGTGGAATGTAACAAAGTGTTTGCATATAACAATAACATGATCTTCAAAAAGATAAAACAATAGCAATTCATCAACATACTTAGCGACCAATGAACATGTACTTACCACAGCTATTTTGACTACTTTTACTAGACTCTTGTTTAGTTTTTTATTATTATTTTCTATTTTTTTATTATTTTATTTATTATGTATATCGTAAACATTTGTAGTATTTATATTGTAGTTGTCTGTCGGTACACCAAAATTTTGGTTCAATTAACCGTTATACCGCAACTTTGTTACCTTTACCCTGTATCCTAATCTTACCAGGAAGAAATTGCTACCTTACCAATAAGGCCGCCTGTATGTACAATGTGTTTCCTGTATTTTCCTTTTGTGCTATATTCTCTTCTATTCTCTTCTTATTTTACTCTTCTTCATATTGACATTTATGAACAGTCAATTTAATAAAAATTACTAAAGCAAAAAGTATTTATTCTGTTTAAGCATTAATAACTCATACATTATTAACGTCTCAAAATATTTTTATCAGACATAAAATACTGAAGATATAGTTGACTTTTTTTTGTTTTCAATTACAACTTATTAGTACATCATCATCGTCCTCCTGCCCTTATCCCGCATTTGTGGGCTCGACACATGTGAGTCATGTGCCACCTTGTGGGAATCGAACCCATGACCTTCTACGCCGAAGCCACGCGCCATCTTAGCAAAGCCGCCACTGAGTGTAATTTATCAGTACATATCTCATATTAATCAATCCCTATACACTTTGCCCGACCAAGATTCGAGGTTGACAGTTTTCGTATGGCGAACCGTGAATAACGTCATTACGAAACGAAGTAAACTAAAACGTGGGCAATTGTACGCATAAGTAGGCCTCCCGGCGTCGTCCGTTCACCGTGTCAGTGGCGCACCGTCCATCAGCGGGGAGGCCGAAAATTGAAATTTGTCAACGCGCAACCGGGGTTGATCACGTCACCGGCGGACGTAACCGGCGGCGTTTGATAACTCGGCGACTTTCTCTCTCGGATGAGCGGCAGCGGCCGCCGGGCGCAGTCACGCAGCCTCACTCCGCCATCGCCAGCGAGCCGACTCGTTCGTGGCGGACGGCGTGCAACCCTCGACACGCAGCGCGCGAAACCCCTGAACAAACAGTGCCGCGGTACACGTAAACGTTGTGTTGTTGTTTTGTATAGTTGCTCAGCAGTGGCTTCTGTTCGTTGAGCATGGGGGAGTTCAAACGGTAAGTTTGTCGATAATTGCATTGTCCGGATAGCTCGGATCCGGAGTTTAAGCTCAGAAAACGATGTCTTTGTTTTCGCTCGAAAATTCCCCTCATCTGAATGTAGGACAATGCCGAACGCATCTAAGTTCAACGCAAATTATGTACGTGTTGTCTAGCTAACAACATTGCATTAGGATGAACGTTTATTTCAAGTAAATTTGCCTCGACAATCATTTGAAGCACTGTTGCTTTAAAAACATGCATAATTTTGATTTAACTATCACTATTGTTTAGTTTCACCTTCTGTAAACTAAACGATTCTGAAAATTTTAAAACTTTAATTGACCGTTTAAAAGTTATACGAAACTAACGTTACTTTAATTTAATTATACATTTGTCAAATTTATGTATGAATAGATTTAAACAATTGTTCATTTTATGATTCCGAAATAAATGTAATTCATTTTATAATATCTACAGATCTTGAAATACAAGGATTTCTCTTGAAAAGTTATTTCTAAGATTTTTTTGGTAAATTATCACTGCGGCATTGTTGACGAAACAAACGTCAAAAGGTCAACCATCTTGTTGAAAGTTTTTAAACAATGCAAAGATGAATGGCTTGTTATTTGTCGTCTATTGCCTCATTGGACCATCTTGCTTATTAAGTAACCTTAGCAGCAGCTTTCGTTTTTCCGTTTCTTTTGAGTACGAGCTTAATTTTAGTTAGCCGATTAACTTTTAGATAACACTTTTACACAAAGGTAAAATCTTTTACTCGTGTTCTATATATCAAGGTTATCTACTATCGTTAAAATGAAACTAAAATTTTGTAAGATTTTTAAAGTTAATATCTTGTATAATAAATACTTGAATTAACTGTTGACCATACATTCCTTACCCTGAAAATGAAAATTTGTGAAGCGATTTTTCAAAAGAATGATTTTGAGACATAATGTTTTAGAATGAATCTACTTCTCGGGTGCTAAACATAAATTAATTCTTTGCACAATACAATATATTAAATAATAATAAATTCATAATAATATTTCATTCATATAGATCGACAACTAAAATTTTCTTCTATTATAACAAATGAGGTGTACAATTATAAGAGTAACACCACAATGTTTATAAGAATTCAAATATATCAATTATACAATAATACTCTTTTCAGATTTTGAATTAGTTCATACATTTTATGAGAACTCATATCTACCTAGATAAAGATAACTACCTAGTTATCTTTATTGTCACGAAAATAGATGAATATTTATTTAATATTTAACACTTCTCATTAACACGTGCAAGTAATGGCGTTGAGCAATACATGAAATATTGTTGCATTTACAATGTATGTCGAGGTTATGAGAGTGACCATGGATAGAAGTAAAAAATATGTGCATCATTTTATTATAAAAACAATATAGATAATAATAGTCTCTTGGAATCTAATACGGTGTTAGGCTTTTACGTATATAGCATTTACTTTTTCCCCTTCGATTTGGCTTTTATGTGCATGCCGTAAATATGCATTGAATAACAAGTACACACGTTTTGTTAAAAAAAACATTTCATAATATTCATTCACAGTCTAAAGGAAAGGAGGTTTATTATATCGAAAAACATTGCCCAGTAGTGCTCAAGTTAATAAGAAACTCAGTAAAACTGAAAGGTCAATCTGCAACAGATCTACAACCAATACAGATATTATGGAATGCAGCATTTATTGTCTATTTGCATTCCTAACAATCATAGCATCCAAAAACATTCTACCAGCAGTTTATGCACGAAGAGTATAAACAGTAGTAGTAGTAGATGTTGAATAATTTGATTATCATATAAAAATTGTACGATTTACATCCTAGTAATTCGATACGATGTACATACATACATCTTAGTAGTTTTCTTATTATTATTATTGTAATAGGTATATAGAGCTTACATTTTTATACTAAAATTATTAAGTTGTCGACATTGAACTTGGCTTTACTAATTAAATATTTGTAATACTTCTATTAGGCGCATGTTAATCCATAAATATAAATATATATTGCCTGGTGTCTTCCTTGTAAATCATTTAAAGAAATAATATATGCTTAGAGAAGCTAATTAAATAGCTAGGTAATATTGCTTTAACGCTCTTCCTTGTAGGCTCTTGCACAAGAAACTCGTTCTGAATATTTCATACAGCCTGCATGGCTTATGTCTTCAAGTACCAATCGTGATATCTTTAAGCATAAATATTTACCTACCCTTTGAATTTCAATTTGTTATATCGTTTTTGAAGTCATGCTTATTTTGACGCGTTTAGAAAAAATTGTGAGAGTAAAATTTTTACGATGCGCGCAAACCGACACCGACACGATTTCATGGCAAAGCGACCAACTTCACAGTATTATCATGGCAACCAATGACAACTTTTTGACATTTACCTTTAATTCCAAGTTATTCAATTAAACCATTATAAATTTCATTTAATATTTTTTTTATATTTTTTTCACAAACAAAGATTACTGGCACAAGGTATATTTTTAGTTATTTTCTATTTTTTATACGCTAAAGAAATATAACTTCTTAAGTAAACACATAAGTTTTTTAAAGATTTGCAAATTAATTGTTAAGGTCTTTTCATAGAGACTCATTAGTACTGACCATACTAAATAATTAGGGCATTATTTCGTTTTTAGATAGTGATGAGCTAATGGCCAGTACTACGCTACTTGGTCTAAAAAAGTTTTATGTCATTTGTCCGTGTACGGTAACCAGTTTTATCACATTTGTTCATTAACTCTACCCTACCCCGTTTGGGCTAAAAGACGCTAAAGCTTGTTTATAAGGCTACTCATTACACTTATGTCTCTGTGCTCATAAAAAAGCAAGTTTACAATAAGTACTATATATATTTTTATTTTATCTATATACGAGTACTCTCATGATTCATCGACACGTTACGTATAAAGGTCCAAATGGGAAAACCTTATTACGAGTCGCGGTAAATTTCACTTCTGATCATAAGAATCATCTTCGCTTCCCCGAAGTGCTTTTGAAATGAAATCAGATGTTCGAAGAATTAGTAACATTGTTATTACTATTAATTAATATATTCACGGGTTTTCCCAATCACGGTTGGATTAAAGATGAAGAGAACTTATAAAGCTCGTGAGAAAGATCCAAATCTCGAAATGCATAAAGAATGTGAGTTGGCTAAGTCACTTCTTCGTTGAAAAGGCGTTTTCACAACGTTTTTCCTATTTTTTTAAGATAAGCAATCTCGTTGGCGCATCGTAGTTAGTGTCGCAAATTGACTGTATATAAAATAAGCACTATTTCAACTTCTTGCACCATAATATCGCTTATCATCGATTAAGGAAAACGGTAATTTGCGCTGAAACAAAACATTAAATTGTATGTTCCGCTTTTGGGTCTTATTTAATTGTACACCTGACCATGTTATGCCTGCGGCTATATCCTGTTGAATCCGGTAACGGATTTAAAATCATCATCCTGCTGTATTCATCCCAACTATTTGGCACATGCTAATGATGGTGTAAATGGTATTGGCTTGGTTTTTTACTGTCGGCCTCTTGTCTGACGTCAACCCTCCTTGGGAACAATCCGTGCGTCACACACATACTTATACTGTAATAGTATAGTATATATGTTTGTGTAACGCACAATTATGCCAAACGGGAGTATAGTACAAGTATATACTAAACTCCCGTGTGCGGGAGTTTAGTATAATATAAACAACTAACTTGGCGCCGAAGACAATAACTTAGCAACAACGAACGATACACAGTCACCTAGTAACGGAATTAAAATTAAAAACTTAAATGGTTAATGTTGAAAACTTTTACTCACACATTTTACACTTTATAACAGTACATATCTTCGGAACCCGACAAGATACTGAAACGTAACATAAATGAAAATTTACCCTCCAATTTTTACTTTAATCCGTTCATTCGTTTCGGAAACTTTTTGAAACATACTTTCAGAGAAACGAGAGAGAAAAAAAAATCTAAAAACAGTTTTTTATAACTGAACCTTGTAAATAGTAGCTATCCTTAAAATTTTGCTATTAATTTTGATATCATACAGGCATTTCAATTTTATTATTCAGTAAAGATGCATATCAGTTGTTTACAAGAACATTCAATGAAATAATTTTACATTAAATATTCACGATTTTACATTGTATATTAAGAGTTAATTAATCATGTCATCGTTTATCTAATTATAAATTGATATTTGATTCTATAAATATGTAATATATGTATCCATATCTCGTAAAATACTATTTTGTTAATTACATTAATATCCTTTGTGTCCCAATCGACAACCGTTCTTCGCTCGTTTTAATACAGAGTGATGTTTTATGAGGCCCAAATCAATCAAAATATAATAATATAAACTGAGGGGTTCACTTATTATTACACGTTATAGGTTGAACGATAAAAGTAAAGTAAAGTAACAGCCTATACATGTCCCACTGCTGGGCAAAGGCCTCCTCTATACAGAGGGTATCAGGGCATAGTCCACCACGCGGCCCCACTGCGGATTGGCGGACTTCACATATATTCGAAATATATATTTTTTGTTATTATTTCGAAAATATGCAGGTTTCCTCACGACGTTTTCCTTCACCGCGGAGCACGTGATAAGTCAGCACTTAAAGTTAAAAACTTCATTGGTGCCGGCACCGGGGATCGAACTCAGGTTGCTCGAGTATATTGAATTAAGGCGAGCGCCCGGACACTGAGCTATCACGGCTCGATAACCACTTAATTATTCTATCTTTCATGATAACAGGAATATCTTAAGGATGTTTTATGATAGTCTTTGTTAAATAACATATAATTAAAAATAGACAACGGTAATTTGGAGATAAACGATTTAAAAAAAAATTATTGTGACTCTTTGTAATTTTAAGTTACTGATTTGAATTTGAATCTATAGGTCACTTTATCATTTTACTTCTATTTTTTAATCTTATCTCTTCCCTTAACGCCCGT